CAATTGTGTCAAGTTTATTTTCTTAATTAGCCTAGACATTTTAAAGAGTAAGAAACCCAACTTAGGAACCCACATTTTGGTAGTGAATGTGTAGGATTGCAAACCATATACAAAAATTGGCTTCCAGCAAGATCATATTTTATAGATATTATTCTGTCAAACAATTACAACGGCATATAGAATAATGCTTAAACAAGTGAAATAATGACTTAACAAAATATTACTGAGTCTAAACTAAGTAGCCCAAGAAATCATTTTTGTTAAGTAGACTTTATTACCTCTCTTCTAAAACCCAATAATAATACAGTATCACAAAAAAATGTTATTACCTCTTTAAAACAGTATATATTATATATTTTGTAAAAACTACATCATAAAAGTTCTGCGAGGCTATGGGATGTTAAAAGCTGTGCAGCACTATGTATGTAGAATTAATACTATGTAACAATGTTTAAAAGCTTTAACTATATTTAAATACATGTAATAATAATTGACATACACAGTATTTTAAACAGAGGTAATTGATATTTTACCCAGACTCAAGAGTCAGTTTGTACCCCTCTGATTTTATTCTCAGTTATTTGTAAATCACTGTACTACATATCTGCTAATGAGTTAAGCACCTAAAAAATACAATATTCTAATTTATTTTTATGAATGTAGCAAAGTTTCAGGGTATAAATAAAAATATTAAATTAACAGATAATTTTGTTCTCATTCTTTCATAACACAAATCTTTGTTATATCATGTATTTTAAAAATAATGATTAAAATGCTAAAATAACATTCTTATATTTGTTCTACTTATGAAAGTTGAACCACTTTTGAGTCTTTTTACATACATTAATAGTTCTAATCTCAAAAAAATCACATTTTGTTCCAAATTACCTATTATTTATATTTTCCTTTCAAATTTTTTTATATAGATTTCTCGGAAGTATCCAAGACAGTAGCTTCTTTGACAGTGAAATGTACAAAACAAATGACATGTCAACAAGTAAATTAGCATTCCCTTCTTGACCAGCTGGGTCATGTTTCCTTTTCAAAATCCTCAGTCCCATGATACAAAATAATAATAATCTAAAAGACCTCATTAAATGATCAATATATTGACATAACCTCTATAAGGAGACACATAGTATTTTAATTGATTCCTTGAATCCATTAACTGGAATATTATAACCCAAGTCTCCAAAATATATTTTTAAAGGATATTTGCTTTATTTATTAACTAATTTTCTTCAGGGTATGGATAATGGCAGACGAAAAGATTCAAGAACTTTCATATTTAGCCAAAGAGTAAAAGAAGTCCAGTTTTCACTAAATCTTTACAAACAATAACACAGCAAAAGTTATAATAGACAAATTAAACCACATTTACTTACCAAAAAACTTCCAAAGGCTGAATTAAATATTGCAGCTGCCTATAGAGAAAATAAATGGGGAAAAAAACTCATTGAAAATAAATAGAAATAGAAAAAGCACAGATTATCATTCTCCCTTCCCCCACTATTCAAAACCTTGAAACATTGATTCTATAAAGCAAAGTTAGTCACTGCTTACAAAAATTGCCAGTGGCCTGTAGTTTACTAAGATAGATGAGCTGCAGCTTAGGAATTCATAAATAATGGGTCTCAAAAGCAGGCAGAAAAGACTTGTCATGCTTTGAACCTATATGACAGCACCAAAAGAATCATCACCAATACTAAATCGAAACCTTGTTGTTATTGATTTTGCTACTAGATTTAAAACAATCAGAGGTTGATTTATTCATCAAAAAATTCATATTACAGGGAGAAGGAAAAACAGAATTGTAAGGCAAGCATTAAATGCTCCCTGTCAGTGAGCATAGTCCTGTGAACTACAACCATAAGGTGAGATCTGTTGTTCCCACACAACACACGTCAGAAATATGAACAATGCTGTTAAGACCAAGAAAGTCATTGCTATACCATTAATTCTAAGGTAAAAACAAGCAAGAAAAATTTCAGGTTGGTGTTCAAAATTCAAAGAAGAAATATTTGACTTTGTGCTTACCTAAATATCCATGGATACACAGCAGATGTTAACATAGCTCTTAACTTTAAATTAATCACTATATTCAGTGAAGTTACACCAGAGTCCTGAAAGCTTCCCACATTATCCAAAAAGGAGAAAAACTTGTATAACATCCAATTTTATGAAAGAAAATAAGAGGAAAAAAAATAGTAAAAGGAGTAGAGGAAACCTATTTACATCTCCTGCAGATCCAGAGCAGAATTAAATTAATCATCATGGACATTAGCAGCCACACTGTAGTAAAAAGAGGATGTCAGTTAAGTAAGTTTGAATAAAGTCCAAAGCCAGGCTAAGAGCTGTAGCTGAAAATGCCTTCTGCTCCAGAAGAGGATGCAATGAGAGTGAATGGGTAATGAGATCCTTGGCTCCAGAGAGCTTAGCTCTCCTATTCCAGTTCATAATTAATTCAAAGCTTTGATAATTTCATTAGATTTCTCCTTTGCTGGCCCTATCAATAAAAGATGGCACTGGACCACAGCTCCTCTGTGGCATAAACACAGGCACAGGCACAGACTAGGGAAACCTTTGCTTCCTGACAGGGACAATGGCATATGGTGTTTTGTGTTGTACAGGGAACAGTGAAAAAAAAAAAAAATTAGCTAAATAAAACATTACAGATGACAATTGTAAACTATAGCACCATATTTAACACATCTTCCTGGAACTACATTATGGATAATTCCAGGAACAAGTTTTATGTATGGAGAAAAATAAGTCAAAGAGTATAAATAAATGAGTTATGGTGAGATCAACAGGGAACATTATTCTCAAATCATTTTTACCTCTAGACCCTACTTTGTACCTAAAATGGATTTATCTCTCTTTTTAGTAAAGGAATGAGGTCTTCCCCTTTGAGCTCCTCTCTTCCAAATTCACTTTTTTCCCGTGGCTTTCACTAACCTTATACTAGATAACTAGCAGTTTTGCCTAGCATTTAAAGAAACATGGAATCATTGGAAGGAAAAAGACTCCAAAGTCAAAGTAAAATAAGTACCAACTACTACCCATCAGATCAAACTCTCACTCCTTCCTGTTCTTTTTTTTAACCCAAACGCAGGCAATATATTTCACGTGAATTGGCTGTATCCCTGCATTTTGTAAAACGACAGTGATACTAGCGATGGGATATTTTAGGTACTCGAAGATGCCACAGGCCAACTCATTCTTAGTTGTTTTCTGACAGTGGTGATGGATTTGAACTCGCTCAGCTACAATGCGCTCCCATACAGTGAGCTCTGGCAATCTTCTGTGAAGCGGCTGAATAAGGTTCTGGGTACTTTGAAGACCACGTGAAAGCAGACACTGAATCAAGGATCTTGGGCCCAACAGCAACAGATAACTAAGCTAATAGTTGGCCCAATTCTGCAGTTGCAGCATACAACTCTGGAAATCAGAATTTCCACAGTTCTAAAGAGTAATGATAAATATTTAGAGAGTATTTTATCTCTCCGAAAGTTTCTTTAAAGCACTGACACTGAGACACTGTGGCTTTAACAAATTATCTTAGAGTCCCACCTTATGTACAAAAGGCCCTTCATGAACAGGTCTCTGTCCATCTCATTCCCTGCCTCAAATTTAGTATTCTGACATTAAACTACTTGCAATTTCCCAAATTCATCATGCCACTTCTTATCTCTTTGCTCCCTGGCTGGAAATACTCTTCTTTCCTCCTCTACCTGTGTAACTTTCACTTAAGTTACTGACTCAGCGTGGGCACCATCCGTCCAAGGTGTCTCTCCCCACACACACAGAATGTAGCATACACACACATCCACACTTATAGGTAGACTGCACGTCCCCATGCCTGCTGCCAGAACATCATGAGCCTCTCTCTTTCTGCCACGGCACTTGTCACACTGTATTGAAATGACCTATAGTTTAAGGTCTTCTAAGGAAGGAATCGAATAAAACTCATCCTAAGCACCTACGTGTTTGTGAACTGAAATGATCAGATAAGTAGGATTCCCTGAAATGTCCAAAGTTTTTCATTCCGACAAAGTTATTCTATGTGTGTGTTTGGCAGAATCCAAGGACTGGCAGACACAGAAGACTCGATCTGACACCAGGTACCACGACCAAGCACTAGCAATGACAGGCAATCTGGACGTCTGACTCTCATCTAATCTAACAAGATGTTTCACATCTTGTTTTACTTCCTTTAAAGTGTTCGAACTTTCCTATTATGATATAGTTACATAAATTATATTTAACATGAATAATGTTTTAAAACTTACCACTGCTATACAGCAATAGTTAAGTAAAATCTAGAATTACCAAGGAAAACTTTTCAACCATTAAAAAAGGATGATCTGCATACACTGATATACATGAAAGCAGGCCCAGATATTTTAAATGAAAAAGCAAGTTTCAAATGTATAATTCCTATTATGTAAATATGTACACACACACAAACACAGATACAATATAAAAACGCACCATTTTTTCTGAAAGGGATCACCAAAAAAATTCCTAACTATGGTTAAATTTGTTGAAAGGGACTAAAAGGGGATCATTTTTATTTTTTATTTTGTTCTGTTTGTTGTGTTTGGCTTTTTAATTTCAACAAGGATTATGAGGGCAGCAAGATGTTATGCCATTTATTGTTTGCTTTTTGAACCACTTTGTATTAAAAATATAATATTTTATTTAAAAATAAATTAAGATTTCAATTCCTACTTTGCATGTTAATGATCTGTCCTGCTGGTTGCTCACAAGCTGGAGGCTGAGCACACTCTGGAGCACACATCATTGTGCTGGGGGCAGTAAGAAGCCACAGGATGAAGAGAAGACATCTCTCGAGAGCATTGATAGCATGTGAATATTTGATTTTAAAAACAAACAAAAAATGCACTATTATTTTTATATTAGCACAAGCATGGCTATAGAGAACACAGTCTTCATGAACTGAGATCAAATATGAGCCACCAAAGATAATTTGTTGTGAAGATAGGACCCTTTGGGTTATACTAACAGACTCTAGTGGGATTTGAGTTTTCTCTTCTCTGCCTTCTGAAAGCCATACGTGGGACAGTCCACTGATTTTTAAACACAGCACTTCTCTTGTTAATATCCCTTTGCTAGAAACAATTTCAGAACCCATTCCCCTTCTAGAATGCTTCATCACAACGAGAAGTTTGCCTAATTTGTTGAATGAGTGAATGAATGAACAAACACTTCTTGTGCTTACTGAATGCCCTATACACTCGTGTTTATTATTAACTCATGAATTCCATCTGCACAGTGTATACCTTGGAGTAATCATATTTGATATATAATTAGATCAATGCTAACTGAAAAAAGTTCATATTGAGGTAGTTTTTTAATATGGAATAGATTGGCTTCCTTTATATTACATATTTATACATAATATATTGCTTTTGGTATCAACCCGATTTTATCCAATATAAGGTATTTTACTAATGTTTCATCATATATTGTACATCATGTCTTTATTAAATTATTTGGAAAACTGAGCAAGTTCAATAATGAATTAATTTCTTCATAACCTACTTGGAATTATTTAAAATAAAGATAACTTTAAAAAAACTAAAGGAAATGGGGAAGAGAGTTCTCTAATCCATAAAAACAAGCTCTTCCATTGTTGAATGAATGGCTCTAAATATCACAAAGTTCCACCTTACAATAAGCCTGAAGCCTATAACTACCTGTAACTCTGTGCACTGACCATGTTCCATGCTAGCAGTTACAGGAATATGCCTAGTCCCTTTTTCAAATGCATTTCAAATATGTGAACACAGCTGGGTCCTACCCAAGTCTTCTCTTATGACATTATATCAAAAATTTTCATAATTATGGTCCCACACCCCTCTTCTTCCTTCCCCCATTATTAAAAAATAAAATCCATTATTTACATTGAGTATGAATGATTTATGGCAAGTTAATGTATGAAACTTCTGGCTTTTGCTTTTGAATAAATACCCTGATTCCCAAAGTACACAGAAATGTTTATGGAAATATTAAAATGGGACATTTATGGTTATTTCAGAATTGCTAATAATGTTCCAAGCTTAGAATAATGTGTGGCAAGTGCCCTACTATTGAAAAGTAAGATATTGGACATATACCTCGGTACTTATAAAAAGAAACCAAAAGTAGATCAGGGACCAATTCACAGGTAAGCTATAGAGGTGAAAGCTAGAAATTCCAGGGGAGATTGATAAAAGGAAACTCCCAGGAAGAGTGAGTGTTTTGACTTTTTCTCCTCCTCTAGGAGAGAAAGCTGATATTTTCACCACATCTCCTAAGTTGGGGTTGGGGGTGACATCTACAAACAACCAATGGTGGAAATAGAAGAAATTTCAAAGAAGCCAGAGAGCATTGCTGTCCCATGCTAGATGTTTCCCGA